ACCCACTTCACAAGCGGGTTACTAACTTATCAACCGCGGCAAGAAATGTCCCGAAAAGGGCCCAAACTCACTGAACAAATGTCTCGCTTAACGACAGAAAATTTGGGCAGTTTCGGCCGTAAGTCGAGGACTGCCTGTACTTTGTTAGTTTACCTCTTTTAATGTTTTAATCAGTGGAAACCAACCGATTAATCACAATTGATCAAGCCAATTCCCGGTTAATCGACTTGAGTTTTGTGTGTTGTGCACACACTCAACTGCTGTTTAATGACGAGCCAGGCTTTGTGGTATAATGCATTGGGCGCCCTACTGGGTGTATTCAGCAAGCCGTATTTTTTTTATGGTTTATTTATTTAAAGGCCGGATAACACCACCCGATTCATAATTTATGAGTCTGGGCAGCATAGAAAAGCAGTTTAAATGGCCACAAAATAATGTACTGTACACACATACTTGAGGCTCAGTTCCTACCCTGGCCCAATGCAAGGAAGACGAGATAGATCTTCACGTCTTTCTTTCTTTCTTTCTTTCTTTCTTTCTTTCTTTCTTTCTTTCTTTCTTTCTTTCTTTCTCTTTCTTTCTTTCCCTCCCTCCTTCCCTTCCTTCCTTCCTTTCCCTCCCTCCCGTCTTTCTTTATTTTCTTCCTTCCTTCCTTTCTTTCTGTTTCTTTCTTTCTTTCTTTACTTTCTTTCCCTCTTTCTTTTCTTTCTTCTCCCTATTTTTCCTTCCTTTCCCTCTTTTCTTTCTTTCCTTCCTTTTCTTTCCTTTCCTTCCTTCCTTTCCCTCCCTCCCTTTCTTTCTTTCTTTTTCTTTCTTTCCCTTTTTCTTTCCTCCCTATTTTTCCTTCCTTTCCCTTCTTTCCTTCCTTCCTTCTTTCTTTCCTTCCTTCCTTTTCTTTTTCTTTCCTTCCTTCCTCCCTCCTTTCCTTCCTTTCCCTTCCTTCTTTCGTTTCCCTTCCTTTCTCTCCCCTTCCTTCCTTCTTTTCCTTTCTTTCTTTCTTTCTTTCTTTCTTTCTTTCTTTCTTTCTTTCTTTCTCTCTCTCTCTCTCTCTCTCTCTCTCTTTCTTTCTTTCTTTCTTTCTTTCTTCTATTTCTTTCTTCATTTTTACCCCACTTTTATTACTTTATGAATAACTCAGGATGGCAAAATTTTAATTATTTATTTTTATTTGATTTATTCATTTGTACCCCAATTTATTATTTTTACAAATAACTCCAGGCGGCAAACATATCCAGCACATCTTCCTCCTCCTATTCCCCCCCACACACAGCGACATTACTAACTTGTCAACTGCAGTGATTCGCTTAACAACTGTGGCAAGAAAGGTCGTAAAATGGGGCAAAACTTACATAACAAATGTCTCACATAACAGCAGAAATTTCGGACTCAGTCGTGGTCGTAAGCCAAGGACTAATTATATTCTGTTATTCTGTATCACTGAAGGACGAATGTTCTGATCCCTACTTCCTGACAGTTAGAACAATTATCCAGTGGAACAGCCTGCCTCCAGAAGCAGTGAATGCTCCAACACTGGAAGTTTTTAAGAAGAGACTGGACAGCTATTTGTCTGAAATAGTACAGGGTTTCCTGCCTGAGCAGGGGGTTGGACTAGATGACCTCGAAGGTACCTTCCAACTTTATTATTATTATTATTATCGTTATTGTTGTTGCTATTATTACTGTGGTCAGAAGCCAAGAATATCTGTGCAAAATGGGGGGAGCTTGATTCATGATAGGGCAACTCTTCTTTCATCAACCCCCCCCCCGTGTATATATATATATGTGTGTGTGTGTGTGTGTGTGTGTGTGTATATATATATATATATATACATATACATACATACATACATACATATATATATACTTTTGGCTGCTACTGAAAAGCTGAAGATAATTAATATTTGGTGGATGGAAGACCACCAGTTGATCCCAGAGTCATAATCAGATCAGGTAAAGTCCTAGCAAGGACACGCTAATATGTGGGCATGTTTTACCATGCTGTGCAATCCAACCAGTTGGTTTAGTTGTAATTTAATCTAGGCAGTGAACCCACAGGTATCTAGGTTAAGCATACTAAATGCTCCATCATAAGCAAATAGAACATTTAGTTTGCCTATTACATTAGCCAACGTTGGTCTTTACTTCTACCTTCCCTTCTATTCCTGTTGTTACAACTGTAATTTTAGACAGCCTGTAATTAAAGGCAGTTCAATACAAGCAGTCCTCAACATGATAATAATAATAAAGTTGGAAGGGACCTTGGAGGTCATCTAGTCCAACCCCCTGCTCAGGCAGGAAACCCTATCCCATTTCAGACAAATGGCTGTCCAGTCTCTTCTTAAAAACTTCCAGTGTTGGAGCACTCACAACTTCTGGAGGCAGGTTGTTCCACTGGTTAATTGTTCTCACTGTCAGGAAGTTTCTCTTTAGTTCTAGGATGCTTCTCTCCTGGATTTGTTTCCACCCGTTGCTTCTTGTCCTGCCTTCAGGTGCTTTGGAAAATAGCTTGACTCCCTCTTCTTTATGGCAGCCCCTGAGATATTGGAACACTGCTATCATGTCCCCCCTTGTCCTTCTCTTCGTTAAACTAGACATACCCAATTCTAGCAACCGTTCCTTATATGTTTTAGCCTCCAGTCCCCTAATCATCTTTGTTGCATGCAATGGTCGTAAGTGTGAAAATGGGTCAGGAGTCATTTTTTTCCCCAGCACCTGTTGTAACTTTGAATGGTCACTAAATTAATGGTTACTTTATCTGGGTTTCTCTTTCCAGTGCTCTCTGAACTTGTTTGCCTGCAGATGTTGCATCACCCAACTAGATAACATCATCCGTGTGAGAGAGTGTGGGGTTTGTTCTCTTTTTTTATACAGTAGCTTGCCCTGCCAGCATGCGGTTTTCTCCTTGTTAGTTCTGGATTAGCGTATTGCTTTTTGCTTGACTGTTTGTCTGGTGTTAATCCCTGCTTATCCGGCTGTTGGCTACAGGAAAGGATGTGTTCTGGGTCTTTTTTTTTTTCTTTCTTAGCTTGTTCTGTGAATGGTGGTTTGTTTCTATGTATCTCTACATGGAGGGAAGTGTGTAGTGGGGTGCCCCAGGGCTCTGTTCTGGGCCCAGTGCTCTTCAGCAGCTTCATCAACGATCTGGATGAGGGGATAGATGGGGAACTCATCAAATTTGCAGACGACACCAAGCTGGCAGGAATAGCCAACACTCCAGAAGACAGGACAAGTATAGTGACCAAGTGACAAAATTAGTGGATCAGAGGAATACTGTGGACATAATTTACTTGGACTTCAGTAAGGCATTTGATAAAGTAGATCGCAACCTACTACTTGATAAGATAGAAAAATGTGGGGTAGACAGAATCACCTGACAGTTAGAACAATTAACCAGTGGAACAACCTGCCTCTAGAAGCGGTGAATGCTCCATCACTGGAGATTTTTAAGAAGAGACTGGACAGCCATTTGTCTGAAATGGTATAGGGTTTCCTGTCTGAGCAGGGGGTTGGACTAGATGACCTTCAAGGTCCCTTCCAACTTTATATTATTATTATTGTTGTTGTTGTTGTTATTGTTACGATTATTATTAAGTTCACTGCTCTTTCCGCATCAAAGGGCACTTTGCGTGGGGGGACTTCCAGGCCAAAAAGCCCTGGGGGTCTCAGCGTTCTTCTCCGTGTCTGGTTGTATGGAACGTTCAGGGTTCCAGCATTCGACCGGACGGACTGCCACCTGTCAGAAATGGCGTAGGACTCCTGCTTGGGCAGGGGGTTGGACTAGATGACCTACAAGGTCCCTTCCAACGCTTGTTATTCTAATTCTAATTTCAAATTTGGAGCGTTCGGAACTCCAGCGTTCGCCCCAATGGAACACTTCCGTGCGGTCTCAGCATTCGACCGCACGGAACGCTCAGGGTCTCGAACGTTCGCTTGGGTGGAATGCTCGGGGCTCCAGCGTTCCAACCAGATATAGACCTTTCACTGCTTGCCCGCTGCCCGCGTTCTAGTCGGGCCACCCCATTCCTTGCTTGCAACGCATCCTGCGTGGAGGCGGGAGGGAGGCTCAGTGGAGGGGCAGGGGGCGAGGTAGGAGAGAGTTGGGGTCTCGAACGTTCGCTTGTGTGGAACGTTCGGAGCTCCAGCGTTCGACCGCATGAAACACTCATGCGTTCTCCGCTTTCGGTTGCACGGAACGTTCGGAACGCCAGCGTTCGCCCCAATGGAACACTCAGGGTCTCAGCGTTCGATCGAATGGAACGCTCAGGGTTTCAGCGTTCAGTTGCCTGGACCGCTCAAGATCTCAACGTTCCAACTGGATAGAACTTTCACTGCCCGCCCGCTGCCCGCGTTCTAAACGGGCCACGCCCCCCCCACTCCAGGACCGGCGGATCCTGCGTGGGGGGGAGGGAGGGCTGAGTGGAAGGGCGGGGAGGGGGCGGGATGGGAGAGAGTTGGGGGGTTCTTGTTCTTCTTCTTCTCTTCCTCCTCCTTCTTCTCTCCCCTTCTTCTTCCTCTTCTTCTTCTTCTCCTCTTCCCCTCCTCCTCCTCCTCCTCCTCCTCCTCCTTCTTCTTCTTCTCTTCTTCCTCCTCCTCCTCCTGCTCTTCTTCTTCTTCTCCTTCTCCTCCTCCTACTTCTCCTTCTCTCTTCTTCTTCTTCTTCTCTTCCTCCTCTTCTTCTTCTTCTTCTTCTTCTTCTTCTTCTTCTTCTTCTTCTTCTTCTTCTTCTTCTTCTTCTCTTCCTCCTCCTCCTCCTCCTGCTCTTCTTCTTCTTCTCCTCTTCTCCTTCTCCTCCTCCTTCTTCTTCTCCTCCTCCTACTTCTCCTTCTCTTCTTCTTCTCCTCCTCCTCCTCCTCCTCCTCCTCCTCCTCCTCCTCCTCCTCCTCTTCTTCTTCTTCTTCTTCTTCTTCTTCTTCTTCTTCTTCTTCTTCTTAAAGCCTGCCAGCCCTCCCATCTCCCCGCGCCCGTCCCTTCCAACTCGGTCTCTCTCGCCCGACGGTCTCACCACGCGGTCGCGGCTCCGCCCCTCCGCCTTCCCCTCCTTCTCTCCTCCGCCGCCGCCCGGCCTGCTGTTGACAAACACGGCGGGGGCGGGCGCTTGGCTGGGGGAGCGGCTCCAGAGTCTCTGCCTCTGCCCCGCCGGGAGCGCCGACCGACTCTCCGGGAGCTCCTGGGCGAGGGCAGCCGGCCGGGCACTGCGGGGCTGGGATGTGGCAGACTCTGGCCCTGGGCTTGCTCTTCTTCCCGGCGCTCTTCGCCGCCTTCACCCGCAGCCTGTCTTGGCTCGCGCCGGCATGGAGCCTCAAGGACCGGCTCGTTCTAAGCAGCAGGTACGGGCTGGCACCGGGCGGGCTTGGGGGGGGGGAGCAGAAGGGAGGAGAGGCAAGGCAGGCGGGCAGGCGAAGAGGCCGGCCAGCATCCCGGAGGAAGGCGGGAGGCCCCCGGATCTGCTCAGGAAACCGGATGGAGCCGTGCAAAAAAAAAGTGGCAAACCGGGGCTGCGGGCGTAGCCTGAGAGAGGCACCCGGGGGAGGCGGCGACTCGGGCCCCCTCGAGCGCTTTCGTTGGGATCGAGGCGCCGGACCTGTTGCTTGCAAAGGAAAAGCAGCGAGGCTTTGGGGATGGGTGGGTGGGGCTGAATCAGGATCGGAATAGAGCTGGGAGGGACCTTGGAGGTCTTCTAGTCCAGCCCCCTGCTCAAGCGGGAGACCCTCTACCATTCCAGATAGATGGCTGTCAGTCTCAATCAATCAGACTAATCATCATCATCATCATCATCATCACCATCCCAGCTCCTGGGTAAGGACTCGATAGGTAGACAAAATGCCAAATCCAGTCTGAACATCTGGCTGACTGTGCGATGATCCATAATAATAATAATAATAATAATAATAATAATATTTGTCAATAAGAAAGACAAAAAAGTCTGGATAGTGGACGTGGCAGTGCCTGGAGACAGCAGAATAGGAGAGAAAGAGCGGGAGAAGATAACAAAATACAAAGACCTACAAATAGAAATAGAAAGACTGTGGCAAAAGCAAGCAAGGGTAGTACCAATAGTCATAGGCTCCTTGGGTGCAATCCCAAAACAACTGGAGCACCACTTGAACACCATTGGCATTGACAAATTCGCTGTTAGTCAATTGCAAAAGGCGGCCTTACTAGGAACTGCTTCCATCCTGCGACGATATCTGTAATACCATCAAACATCCACATCTGCCTACCCCAGGTCCTGGGTAAGGACTCGAGAGGTAGACAAAATGCCAAATCCAGTCTGAACATCTGGCTGACTGGGCGATGATCCATAATAATAATAATGATGATGATAATAATAATAATAATAATGTTGGAAGGGACCTTGGAGGTCATCTAGTCCAGCCCCCTACTCAAGCAGGAGACTCTCTACCATTTCAAACAAGTTGATGATCTCCAAGGTCCCTTCCAACTTTATTATTATTATTATTAATAATAATATTATTAATAATAAGCTGTCAATCTCAATCAATCAGAATAGAGCTGGAAGGGACTTTGGAGGTCTTCAGCCCCTTGCTCAAGCAGGAGGCCCTATACCATTCCAGACAGGGGGCTGTCAATCTCAATCAATCAGAACTGGAAGGGATCTTGGAGGTCATCTAGTCCGACCCCCTGCTCAGGCAGGAGACCCTATACCGGTGATGGCGAACCTTTTAGAGACCGAGTGCCAAAATTGCAACCCAAAACCCACTTATGTATTGTCAGGTGCCAGGTGGGCGTGGTCCATTGGGTGGGTGTGGCCCATTGGGTGGGCATGGCTGGGATGGTAACGACAGACTAGATGGGACTAAAAAGTTAATCAATTCCAACTTTGCAAGATCTTTTTTTTTTTCCCCTGAGAAGTTGAAATTGATTGATTGATTGAATCTTTTTTTTTTTTTTTTTGCACATGGCGATGGAGGCCTAAAGTGAAAAGGTTTTATAAAACCCAGCTGAAGGCCTAGGACTGGGGTGATGGCGTGTGTGCCCACAGAGAGGGCTCTGCGTGCCACCTGTGGCATGCGTGCCATAGATTCGCCACCACGGCCCTATACCATTCCACACAGATGGCCGTCCAGTCTCTGCTTAAAAACCTCCAGTGATGGAGCGCCCACAACTTCTGGAGGCAGGTTGTTCCACGGGTTCATTGTCCTCACTGTCAGGAAGTTTCTCCTTAACCTCAGTCCCCAGGGGCGGAATCCTGAGGAGTGGGCTCTCACCTTCCCCGCACATGGGGGGAGGTGACAGGTTGGCGAAGCGCTGCTCATCCCAAGCCCCAATGTGCCAAGGACTGCAGTCTCTTGGCTTGGCCAGGCCAAGATTCGGTCCTTCGCACTCAGAAACTGGGTTGAGACAAGCAAGACTGCCGTGTGAAGACGCCCACCTTGGCATAAAGCTAATCCTCGACTTACGACCACAGTTGGGCCCCACATTTCCGTCGCTGAACAAGACAGCGGTGAAGTGAGCTTTGCCCCATTTTACGACCTTTTCTCGGCACGGTTCTTAAGTGAATCGCTGCAGCTGTTAAGTTAGTCACCCGGCTGTTAAGGGAATCCAGCTTCCCCTACTGACTTTGCTTGTCAGTAGGTCGCAAAAGGGGATCACCTGACCCTGCGACCATCATAAATGCGAATCAGTCGCCAAGCATCCGAATTTTGACCGCGGGGATGCGGCAACGGTCGTAAGTGTGAGACACGGTCATAAGTCCCTTTTCGTAACATTGAACGCTCACTCAACGAACCGTCGTAAGTTGAGGACCACCTGTAATTACATTTTAGATACAAAACGTTAACTATTACAAGCTGTCCTCTATTTACAGCCATCCATTTAGTGACCGTTCAAAGTTACAATGGCACTTTTTCACACTTACGACCGTTGCCGCATCCTTGTGGAAAACATCATCAAAATTCAGACCCCTGGTAACCGTCTCGTACTTATGACGGTCGCAGTGTCCCCATGGGGGGTGTCACGTGATCCCCCTTTGCGACCTTCTGGCAAGCAAAGTCCATGGGGAAGACAGATTCACTTAACAACCTTAATACTAGTAATAATTAATAATAATAATAATAATAATAGGATAGTGGACGTGGCAGTGCCTGGAGACAGCAGAATAGACGAGAAAGAACTGGAGAAGATAACAAAATACAAAGACCTACAAATAGAAATAGAAAGACTGTGGCAAAAGCAAGCAAGGGTAGTACCAATAGTCATAGGCTCCTTGGGTGCAATCCCAAAACAACTGGAGCACCACTTGAACACCATTGGCATTGACAAATTCGCTATTAGTCAAATGCAAAAGGCGGCCTTATTAGGAACTGCTTCCATCCTGCGACGATACCTGTAATACCATCAAACATCCACATCTGCCTATCCCAGGTCCTGGGTAATTATGCGATGATCCATAATAATAATAATAATAATAATAATAATAATAATAATAATAAAGTTGGAAGGGACCTTGGAGGTCTTCTAGTCCAACCCCCTGCTCAGGAAAGAAACCCTATATCATTTCAGACAAAGGGCTATCCAGGCTCTTCTTAAAAACTTTCAGTTAACTTAACTAAGTTAGCAACAGCAATGATTCACTGAATAACTATGTCAAGAAAGGTCGTAAAATGGGACAAACCTCGCTTAACAACAGCCTGACTGAGCAATGGGGCTCAGCTGTGGTTGTAAGTCAAGAACTCTCTGGATTTGCCAGTTTTCCTTCAGTTAGTATTTCAGATATTTCTGCCTCCCAACGACTCGGCTATGCAATCTCATTTAAGCAAGTTTCTAGATCTCAGTGCGTAAGAATTTCCTCTCCTCGCTTACTTGGGTGTGATGACAGGCATTGATTAATTGTTGAAACGCTGCCGTTGTTTTTCCAAAGGTAAGAAATCTGAATGGGTTTTTAAGTGGAGGCAACACTTGAACGAACTTGTTTGAGGTTGGAAGTGAAGCAACTATCAGTCTGATTAAAACTTACTTGCATTTGATTAATGACTCTTGCAAAAGAGGCCGGTCACATGACCGAGCCACTTTATGACCGTCATGCCTCGTGACTATTTCGGGCGAGCTCCATTCCAGTCATAACTCAGAGATTACCCATATTCTGCTGCAGGGTTTGCAGTGTTACATACAGCGAGTCTTCCATTAACAACTGCATTTCAGTCCAAAATTTCTGTTGCTAAGCGAGACGGTTGTTAAGAAGGGACCGCCGTCCCATTTTATGACCTTTTCTTGCCACCGTTGTTCAGGGAATCGCTGCAGTTGTTAAGTTCATGACACGGTTGTTAAGTGAATCCGGATTCCCCCGTTGATTTTGCTTATCATCCCAAAAGAGGATCACGTGGCCCCTGGGACACTGCAACCGTCATAAGTACATGCCAGTTGCTGAGCCTCTGAATTTTGATCACATGACCCTGAGGATGCTGCTACGGTTGTAAGTTGAAAAAGGGTCTTAGGTCACCTCTTTTCTGGCTTGTTGTAACTTCAAACGGTCACTAAACGAACGATTGTAAGTTGAGGACTGCTTGTAAAGCTGATTTATGAATCTAACATTCAGGTTCACCTGCCTGAGCAGGGGGCTGGACTAGAAGACCTCCAAGGTCCCTTCCAGCTCTATTCTGTTCAAACCCAGAGCAGTTGGATTATGAACGGTGAATTCCGGGGCCAAGGAATTTGAACCCGTGGCAGCTCTTTGGACTTGAGTGGAGGTGTGCCCCGGATTAATCCAAGAATATAAATTGTGTCCTTGTGCATCCGCAGGGAGGGAGGGGTCCCTTGGCAATTAGTGTGACAACACAGGAGTGTTAAACACCCATTGCTTGGGTCTACCTCCTCCCAAAGGAGAATGTGGAAACTTCAGTGTGTGACTAATTGGGTAACACCTTCACTGGGACAGACCAAAGATACAACAAAGAATTCTTCTCGGTTGAGACCTACTAACGTGAACTGATTTGTCCTCGTTGAGATCTAGCTGCTTGACACATCGGACTGTTTGGGGGTCAAAAATAACCTGGCCTGTTTTTAGCAGGAACCCTGCATGGAATGGGTCACCCACCCAGAGAGACTTAGAAGGACATTATGTATGGAACGATGTGGAAATGTACATGTAGTCCTTGATTTACAACTGTTTGTTTAGTATCCGTTCCAGGCACTGAAAAAAGAGGACTTGTTTTTCCCACGACCGTCACAATTGGGTCTGTCTCGTTTAATGAAGAGAAGGAGGAGGGGAAACATGATAGCAGTGTTCCAGTATCTCAGGGGCTGCCCCAAAGGAGAGGGAGTCAAGCTATTCTCCAAAGTGCCTGAAGGCAGGACAAGAAGCAACGGA